TTCTCGGCGGACACAACATCTTTGTTTGTATGTGGTGCTGAGGATCCGGGCCGCACGCATGCCAGGCTAGTGCGCTACCGCTTGAGCCACATCCCCAGCCCCTACAGGGGATTTCTGTATTCACCGGCAGCTACTACCTTCCCTCTCCCTCTTTACACCTATACATATGTATAGGTATAAAGTGTGTATTCATATACATTTTCTTTACCTGAAATATTTCAGAGTAAATTGCAGGCCTGATGCCTCTTTACTTTGAAATAAGTCTGTGTTTCTTAAAATAGGACAATTTTTTAAAAATATAACCACAGTATTTGTCAAAATTAGTACTTTAACATTCGCATATTATTATCATCCTCTCTACCGATTATATTCAAATTTCATGAGTTGTCTCACTAAGGCTTGTTACTGTAAAGGAAAGAAATTCTGGCTCAGAATCACATATTACATTTAGTTGTTGTGTCTCCTTTCTGACTTTTTTTTTTTGGTGCTGGGGATTGAACCCAGGGACTTGCGTATATGAGCAAAGCACTCTGCCAGTTGAGCTATATCCTCAGCCCTTATTGTTTCTCTCTTTTAATCTGAAATAAATCCATCGTAATCTGCACAATTCCAGTCTTTTTTGGTCCATATGATCTTGAATTTTCTTTTTTGTACCAGGAATTGAACCCAGAGGCGCTTAACCCCTGAGCCATATCCCAAGCCCTTTTAATATTTTATTTAGAGACAGGGTCTCACTCAGTTGCTTAGGACCTCACTAAGTTGCTGAGGCTGGCCTTCAACCCACGATCCTCCTGCCTCGGCCTTTGGGGCTGTTGGGATTATAAATGTGCACCACCTCTCCTGGGGTGCTGGTGTTTTGAAGAGCCCAGTCCGTTTACTTTATGGAGTGTTCCTCCTCCTCTGGGGTTCTTGTGCTTTCTCCTGACTACATTTAGTCTCTGCATTTTGGGGGATTCCCCACACTGATGTTTCTGGCATGGAGGTGCCTCTGTGAGGCCACGGGTGGCCCAGGATGGTTCCCTGTGGGTGTGATGCTGTGGTTCAGGGCGTGTCTCCACATTTCTCTGTTGTATACTTACTATGTTTCCCTTTGTCATTCAGGAAGTGTCTGATAGGAGGAGACTTCAGGACTCACTAGTTTTCACATTCTTCCTAGTTTATATTTACTGAGGTGTAAGGCTCAAGGTGACAACTGAAGTGTCAGATCTGCAATTGTAATTCTGAGACTCATGAAGTGGAGAGCAGCAAAAAGATTTAGTTCCTAAGTTCATCACTATGGAAATTAAGTGCTCAGATGAAATAAAGCCTAATTTACCTCAATTTTGTGTTTGATGGGCTTATTTTGCAGGGAAATCAGTTTGATAGCATCAGATAATTAAGAGGGAGCTGCAGAGAGGTCTAGAAAAAAAGCCTGATGGTTACTAACAAGATAAAAAATTAATTAAGACATGGTCTCACTATGTTGCCCAGGTTGGCCTCCAACTCTTGGGTTCAAGTGATCCTCCTGCCTCAGCCTCCTGAGTAGCTAGGACTATAGACATACCACAGTGCCTGGCTTGAACAAAACTCAGTTTAAATAGCAAGAAGATCTTTTTTTTTTTTAAGATAGCCATTTGTGAGCATCTGGTGTCGGTATGCAGAACTGTATAAATTCATTCTACTTCCTGCACATGATTATGTCCCATGATCTGGCATTTGATGGTACCAACTGATTTATCAACTGCTAATAAACCTTGCAGCATGGCTCTACTGTGATGAATATATTTCAACCAGGAGTTTGTCTTTGATGATTCAAAAATTCTAAGTTGGTAGGGCTTACTCCTGTTTTTGTATGTGTGATTTTTTTTTTGGGGGGGGGTGTTGGTTAGGGCTTAGTCTTGCTGACTAAACTACAAGGTCTATGCATTTAAATCCTAATATGTTAATCTACAATGCAAAATAAGACATAGTGAATCCGTTATTTATGTGTTCTTTGGAACAATAAAATTTTTGTTGGATAGGAAAAACCACAGGAAGCCAGGTTCTCAAAAGTCTGCTTAGTGAGGGTGGAATCACAGTAAGGGAATTGTTCTTCTGAAAGTTGAAAAGTGTGCTCCCTGGGATTCCCATCCATAGAGATGCTTTTGCAAAAGGGGGAAGCACACAAGACCCCTCCTCTTGCAGAGTAGCAAGGCATGTGACCTACTAATGGCCGAGGTGGTGTCTAAAAAACTTGTGTTAGTCACACCTCCCTCTCACAACAGCCCTGGAACAGATGTTTATTAGCATCAGGCTTCTGTAGTTAGGTTTTTTGTCTAGGTGAGACCAGAGGAACATTTGGTTCAGCAGACACTAATCTAACTCATTTTTCCTCTTTGTTTCCGTTAACCATTTCTTTCTTCCCTCCCTGTCTCTATCTCTCCCTCCCTTCCTTTCTACTTACTAAAGAGATTTTAAAACCTTCTATTCAGTTGTATTTGGGCCTGGGTGCCATTTTGCTCCAGTATGTATCTGTGATCTGTCACTGGTTAAGAAGGAACCATTGCTGAGTCGTCAGAAGTGGGGGAAGAGTCTAATGAACAGTGTCACCCCTGGAAGATTCTTGATGCTGTTGATGATACCACAAGGCCTCAAGGAAATTTTCACATTTTATTGAGTAGCTTTGGAGTTCAATGTCTAGAGAAGGGTTTCTTTCAAAAGTGTTAAGTTTTACTTTAAAGAAGATATATTTTACCTGAGAAGTTCAGATATGTGAAACTACTTTGTGGGCTTTGACAATACATGTACCTAAATGAATTTTTTTTTAAATATTTTTTTTAGTTGTAGATGGACACAATACCTTTATTTTACTTACTTATTTTTATGTGGTTCTGAGGATCGAACCCAGGGTTCAATTGACACATGCTAGTCAAGCGCTCTACCATTGAGCCACAGCCCAGCCCTAAATGAATATTTTTTAAGAAAGTTCTGTAAGTAAAGATTTTGTCTTTTTAAGCTTATTTTTTTGGTTTCCTACTTTTAGTTTTGAATTCGTCCAATCTCTCTAATTACGAAATGTTATGTTATATTTGTTACACAAGGCCAAGATTGGAAAAAAGTGAGTCCATTTTTGGTTTCCATTCAAAGTGAGTTTAATGTACTTACTTTTCTACACAGTTACAGGGATATCTTCTAAGGTAAAATAGTGCCTCAAAATAAATCTGGGTGTTGAAGCCTTCGTAGTGGGATGAACACAACAGCACATGGCTGCACAGATGTTTCTATTTATTCTCTGCTTTTGTGAGCATTTTCTTATGTGAAAGAAAAGGCTGGGGACAACACCTCTGGAGGGCCACAAGTTGCAGGCCTATCTCTGCAACCTGCTGTGGACATGGCTGGGATTGCTGTTCCTCCATTTATTTATTCATTCCACACGTGTTTACTTGCCTCGTGTGTATTACTCAACTTTTCTGGCTGTAGTCATAGCAAGAGGAAACTTGACTCCTTCATTTAGCTTTTAAAATTGTTTCTCCCCCAGCAAGGATGTGCCCATAGCATCATTTTACATGGCGGTGGGCATGGGTAGATTTCTCCTATTGACCAGAGGGCTGAGATGCATTCTTCCATGAAATGGGTTCTAACAATAATCGAGACTTCACATTCGTTCTTTCTTTTTATATTTATCATACGGAGTCTTACTCCTCACAAACCATGGTTTACTTTCAAAAAATATATTTTAAACCATCTAATAATATCTTTATTTAGTGTCACATTTATTTTATAAAGGGTAGATGCTTATTTTAGCAATGATTTGTCATTAAAATTATGTCAAAATGTCTTAAAATGTTGTTGAAACTGTAAACAAACTCATAACACACACAGAGCTAATTATGGATGCCATCTGTTTATTTTTACCAAGCCTTTTTTTCAAAACCATGGCATTGTCTGCTTATGATAAGCTTCAAGATTATTATAATGACTAAGTCCTGTCCTTCAATTAGTGTAGTTGAAGATGGAAAGATAATTTGCTTGTTCATTGACCTTTTCCTTTGCCCATGTATGAAATATGACATGCCATGGCAATGTAACTATTGTGAAGTGCATTTAGGACATACTTAAGTTCTATAAGGAAGAAAATCAGTATCAAAGCAGCAGTTATGGCCAAAGTTTTATTACAATCCTAAAGCTTTTTTCAGATTTTCAAGGATGGGCAGATTATCTTCTGTACCACCATAATTGGCTTTATTTTATCTCAAGTTTAGGAATTTATAGGCGATCGATCAAGTTATAATGACGTATATCCCTATTGGTGCGCCTGCGTTGTCAGTGCATGTTTTTGCACATATGCATCCCATGTGTTAGTGTGGAAGGCCAGGTACTCCCTTGACAGCACCAACCTGAGCAGTTCTCCACAATTTGCTGAGAGCGCAGAGTGATTCACTAGCTCTGCTTTGCTATTGTGCATGCTAAGCACTGCCCAGGTCAGTCTGAAGGGAGAGCAACCTGCAGGCTCCATCTGCTCCTTTCTGCTGCACTGCATTGATGCAAAGCCACGCTAATCTGGCTGCTTGTCAGGACAGGTTAGTGAACGCATGCAGTGGCTGAGACGCGGCTCGACCAGTGCTTTGGAAAATCATAAGCAGCCCCTACAGATGCCATGTTAAGTGTAGCAGAACAGGCTGACTATCAGCCACAGTGAGACTTGCAGCACAATGAATGTGTGAATGTATTTTTCAGTTGAGAATCAGTTTCAAGTTAAATGGTTAAATACTGTTGGGCCACAAGTAAATCAAAATTGGGAAAAGTAACACAGATAGTTTACAAATACTTTTTAGGTCTGAATTTTTTTGATTATCGTGATTTATGTGCCCCATTGTGTTTAGTCTTTCATCTTATCCTCCAGTCTGAGGGTATTTTAGCCAAGTATAACTGATAAGTATAACTGACCTCATTTTACCCAGCACCTTTTGAAAACTCTCTTGTTTAATTCTACTTGCACACCTTGCTCTTCACCCACTGACAGGCACATCTTGGTCTTGCAGGTTGAGCATCCTGTCACAGAATGCATCACTGGCCTGGACCTTGTCCAAGAAATGATCCGTGTTGCTAAGGGTTACCCGCTCAGGCACAAACAAACTGATATTCCCATCAATGGCTGGGCCGTGGAATGCCGGGTTTACGCTGAGGTAAAGCCAGTGGTGCTGGGAGCAAGGATGGTGGTGGTGTCCAGAGTCAGGAGACCTGGTGTAGCTAGCCCACGGGTAATGCAGGGCGTTAAGTCCTGTGTCAGGTATTTGATTATGTAATCCATAATCAAACCAGAAAAATGTTAGATGATTTCCACATAATTCACCATAATTTTAAAGAATTATGTATTTCCAGCTGCCATTCCAATCAGAGGCAACAAGCATTGGTTGAGCATTTCTGAGCATGAATGGACTATGGTTTTATTTTTATTTTGTTTGCTTTTGTTTTTCAACCTCATTAATAAGAAATAGTTATAACTTTCTGTGGGCTTTTTCAAAAGAGCCTACCCTGAGTACAGGTTATTATTGATTCCACGTTTACTGAACTTTTTTCCAACAGTTTTTTTTTTTTTTAGTTTGTCCTTTATGATTACATGGACATTATGATTAAAATTTGAATGAGCTTTTCATAAAGCATGTATTCTTATTTCATAATTTTACTCATCAGTTCTTAGTTCAGTATTTTGACATTACTGTATAATTATATGAATAAGGAAATAGAACACTCAGTACCTAAAAATGTGGTTTTTTTTTCCAAATGATTAAGACAAGAATTCAAGGCAACATTTGCACCTTTACTTTTAGATTGTCTAAAATGTCTGTCCATATAGAAAAAAAAAATCAGTGGTATCTGTGTTTAAGACTACTGAATGTTGTGTCAATCTTTTTAAAGTAGCTTGAAATATGTTTTGTCATGGCTGTTACTGCCCCTCCTGCTCTGCATCATGTGTTAAGGGGTATATCTTTTTTGTGACACTGATCTTACTTATTATTTATTCTGATGATCTAAGATCTTTGTAAATGGAATACATATCTAGCAGCACGTGCAGCGATTCTTTTCAGGTCTTTATTTGAAGAGCCCAGATTCTCAAGTTTTACCATATGTGAGCTGTTTTGAGAAGTAAGAAAAACAAATATCTTTAGTGCAGCACATTTGTTGTTCTGAACTTGAGTATGTTTTGATGTAGAGCCTAGGTTATTTTATTTTTGCCCAAGGCATTCTAAGAAGTTTTACAAAAAGTTGGAATTTTACCAATTACAATAAAGTACGATCAAGGTCAGGCTAAATTCTGCTTGCAGTTCTGTTTGATTTTTAAATACACTTTTGAGTTGTCTAGTGGGTAAGACAGTAGCATTCCGAAATCTGTGATTCGGTAAATACCGCATGTTAAAAATAGAGCTATGAATGCTTCTTCGTTGTAGCTGACCTTACTTGTGCTGATTTATATTTCAAAGACTGTGCTTCCTTTCCTTTGAACTTTCAGGACCCCTACAAGTCTTTTGGTTTACCGTCTATTGGGAGATTGTCTCAGTACCAAGAGCCGATACATCTACCTGGTGTAAGTCATTAAGCTGTAATAACAGCTGAGGGGTTAAAATCTTGATTTATGTCGTACTTTTATGTGAAAGCAAGTCAACACCAAAGGGTGTAAATTGAGGGACAAGTGTAATTCAGGGGGAATCAGTGTTTTTGTTTAAAAAAATTTTTTTTTTTTGTACTTTAGAGTGTTCAGGAAAGACAGAATTCTTTTGACAAGGGAAACTCAGAGACATCTGATAACATAAGTGATAGTTTAAGAGGTTCCCAGTTCTTTTGAAAATTGTAACGAAAAAGATCATGTAATCCTAAGGAATAACTATAAATGATTTTTTTTGTGTGTGTGTGTGTGTGTGTTACAGTTTAATCTTTTCAGTAAATAGAATGCAGCTTCCCTAGATAGTCAAATGTCAAGAAACTTAAACACAAAATCATCCCATTAATTGAACTGGATTAAGAAAAATAGAGTGTGCCTCAGGCCATTAAGTGTCACTGACTTTAAGAATACATGTTGTTTATATCCGTTAAGAAAAAGTAATCTGTTTTATTCCACAGTCTTTCTATCTTTAATAACTGCTCTTTAAATAGTTTTTGTTGCATGAAAAGAACAAGGACATTCCCTTTCCCTTAATCAAGGTAGAAGTGCACAGATATGACACCATGTTAGCTGGTGGATGACAGGGCTGCACCATCTGTGAATATGATTATTCAGCTTGATTACTGGCAAGAAGATGGTGAAAGATTACAGGAAGAATTCTAAATTTGAAGATGTTATTGGATATATGATTTATTTCACTTTTTAAATTGTTTTTGTCCATGTGCTTTCTAAAGGGACTTGACCCTTTCTAGGCTGGGAGACTCCATGCTGTGTTCAAAGCCTGAAGGCAGAAAAAAAATTGTAAAGATTTAACAGGCATTATGTGACGTTAAATAGCAGATGAGAAAATAAGTATTATAGGGACATATCTAAACACTTTTTTAATCAAACAAAAAAGTATTAAATAAGAATTGATAATGATCACTCGAGTTGTTAGAAGTTTTCACCACGTTGTAATAGCTAACAGGATGTCAAACATTTTGCCCTCGCAAGTTTTTGTAATTTGCAATTTTCAAACGTGAGACCTGTTGAAAGTACAAGTGATAATGGACAAACTATACCCCCTACAGGCTTTGTCCCACCAAATCTTTCTTCAATTAATGCTGCAGCAGGAGTTTTATGTAATAACATTTGCAGTTGTGAGCCATCCATAGAAAGAAAAAACAATTAAAATGCCTTAAATGTTCTGCTTACTGCTGTTATTTGCTTGTGTGAATGTTGCATGTCAGCTAAATGGACCAAGGAATAGATAAAGTGATTGGGTGCAGGGGAGTGCACACTAAGCTTTGTCTATCATTATTGCTGGGAGCAATCAAATTGATGTCAGCAGGACAGTAGATGCGTTGACAGCTGTAATTATGTATCTCCATGGTGATCACTTTTGGCCTGTCATGGAGGCCCATGAGTCCCCTCCCTTGGAAGCATTTAATCAGATTGGGCTGTCACTTGTCAGGTAGACATGGCGGGCTGGGAGTTGGGCTTCGGGGGAGAGGTAGATTGAGGAGGAGGGTGGGAGATGTCTGATACTTCCCAGGGCCCACTGTGGTACTGGAGAAAGCAGTTTCAATTATGCTGGGGGTTTCTGAGCAGTGGTTTAGGAATCTCATACAGAGCTGTGTGGGTGTTCTTGTTGTGAGCGTCCTAGGTTCCTCCCTGCCTTATTAAAACTAGATCAGTCAGTTTAACTTGAGGAACCATGTTTACTCTTACCTTTTTTGGTCACAAGCATACATACTTAAGAGTTGACTTATGGTTTGTACTTTTCACATGCATCTTTAAACCTGAAATTTATCAGTAGGGCAAATATGAAGATTTCCTTTCTAATTCTTGATAATCATATTTTATGAATTTATTTTCAGACTACATTTTTGTTCTGTTTATAAAATTGGTTCAATTTCCATTTGATTTTATTCCTAAAGCACTGCAAATTTTTATGGCCTTTGTTTCCCTGAAGGAATGAGCACTTGATTTGACTCTTAATTGTTAGAAATTAGTTTTTCGGAGAAAACTTTGTAAACAGTAAATTATAGAACAGGGGTTTCATGCTTTGTTACAATTTCAAATTGGAAATGTCAATTTGCCTACATGTGTTGATTACACATATTTTGATTTTACCCCATATGTTTTTAAATTAAAATGGCGTATTTCCCATGATCATGATTTTAGTAAATACGAGAGACATAGTTGTATGTAGGAGCTCTGAGTCACTTAACTTTTAGGATGGTATTATTCAAGGTAATTAAAATTTTTAAGTTATGAACTATAGGAGGATGTAATAAATATTCTTTATTGTCTGTTATTTCACCAGTGAGTTAAACATCAGAATTTTTCACTAGCTTATAGCTGTTAATGTAGCAATAATAGGAGATGTTGAAAGTCAAAGGTTTTAGAACACAGCCTCATTAGCAAGTATGCTGTGGTTTTACATATGACGTGATGGTAAAGTTAGATCTTTAACTTTTTGGCATTAAAACGGAGACAACTAAAGTACACAGTCATCTTTTTGGTTATATAACCTGATCGTCTGTTGCCCTTTGGGGCTACCTGAATGTGGGGAGAGTGAAGACTGATAGCATTGTTTCAAAGCTGCTCTATTTATTTTTTTCTAGTTCTTTTTAAAACTTTTTAAATTAACACCAGGAATTTAATAGAATTTAGTTTATGTTCTGAAGTATGTTTTCAGAAAATAAAGCCCAAGTATATTTTGTAATATGCTGAGTGGCTTTCACCTAAAGATTTTCATGTATGACTGTGAATAGAAATATCCATATTTTTGTTGGTGTTTGCAAATTTGGAAATAAAAGCCCTCTGGGCATAATGTTCTCTTTTAAAACCTTACAGGGAAAATATATTGGTGTAATTTTTTTTCCTTTTTGAAGAGAGTGAAACCATGGCTTATCTTTTGATGTCACTGTGTAATAAAGCCATCATCTTACCCTCATGTGGCTATCTTAGACAAGAGGTTCTACATGCGGTCCCTTGATAATTGCCTAAATTAAAATATTAAAGGCCTAACAGCCGCTGTGTTGACCTTTTCCTGCCTGCTGCAGACAGATGAGCTGCTGTTTATGAGGCCCACTCTTCCCACAGGTGATGAGCGGGAGCTTCTGCTCTTCTCTGCCCACCCCTATACAATGTTGGGCATCAAAGTCCTGCTGTTCCAGCAGCTTCGATTAAATTCCTCTATCCTCAAGACCCCTAGGATATGCCTGACAGGCTCCATATTTTGATTAATTTTTAAATACTTCAGATTCCAAAACTTGGTCACAATAATTTAATAACTACTCTGTCCTCAGCAACTGCTCATTTTAGAAGTTTTACATGGCTAACCTCCGTGCCTTGCTGCTGATATCAAACTGGGAGATGAAAACAAGAATCAGTGATGTACTAACTAACTTGTTGGCTGGTTAACAGCAATCTGGCTCTTCAAAAGGGTATTTTGAACTTTTGCTGTTTTTTTCCCCCCATGAAAATTGCAAAATCAGAACTCTAATTGGGGCTGTGTCCTCACAAAGCAAAGCCATTGGAAAAGCTGTGTAAACACGGAAGCCTCAGGGGACTAACAGTAACAGAAAATAGCGTTTTACAGTTGAGAGGGTGCGGCAGAAAGGAAAGTGTTGCCGTGAAAGGCCAGGACGTTCTGGCACTGAGAGGCAGGCAGCCAGGGCTCAGGCTTCCCCGGCCGCTCAGAGGGATTGGGCAGGGAGTCCCCTGAGAAGGGGCGTCATCCACACAGGCAGAGAGCTGCAGATGCATCCTGGGGCACTGGTGTAGGGTGTACAAAGTCCCCGCTTTCATTCCTTAGTTCCTTCATTTAGTAACAGAAGCGTGTCTTGTAGTTCATATTAACAGATCAAGACGGGTTGGTCTCTGTGCATTTGAGGTTGTTTTTCTAATGTTCAGGAATGGGAATGTTACTTGAGATCGAAACTATCTAGTTTCTCTGTGGAAATTAAATTTGTGGCTTTAAAAAATTCTGCCCAATATGAAGTTCCTTTCATTTTTCTCTCTCCCTCCCAGGTCCGGGTTGACAGTGGCATCCAACCAGGAAGTGATATCAGCATTTATTATGATCCTATGATTTCAAAAGTTAGTTCCATTTCTTAACTGTTTCTTTCAGTGTTCTTTTGAACAATGTACATATTTAGTTAAAAAGTCTGACACAGAGCCTTTACCTGAATCATGTACTATAATTAAACAAGTAATTATAGACTGATGTAAAATAGAAACTGCAGATTTTTTTCTCTTAAGAAATTTTAAGACCATATTCATTTGTCTGTCCTCCCCAATCAGATCATCCACCTGCACCACCCCCACCAACAAACATCCACTCAGGGGCACCAACCCAGCTCATAGCACTAAGAAGGCATTAAGTTTTGTTTGCTTTTTGGGCAAATTTAGAAAATTGCCTAAGGTAAAAAAGTGTCAGGTGATATCAAGAAGTTGGGCTGATAGGTAGTGTTTGTTGGAATGCTTTTGACCTATTCAGTTTTTCTTTGCAAATTAATAGTCCTTACGTTGTTGATTTGACAGTTACGTTTCTAGGTTTTTTTTCTTTTTTTCTTCCCTTTGCGGTTCTGGAGCTCAAACCCAAGGCCTCCTGTATGCCAGGCAAATGCTCTACCCCTGAGCTCCACCCCCAGTCCAATTACATTTTATAGAAGATTATAATTTGTGTTTGTCCACCTGTCTTTTCCAAGTTTAAGTTTCTAGATTGAATAATCAACTTAATTTATTTTAGTATTGAAATCTTAAGACTTTATAATATGTAAAGTATTACAGTAGTTAAAACTATATATTTTATTTGAAAATCTTGTGTTCTCAGAAATGTTAAATCTACATTGAGGAATGATTTTTTAAATTTTTCTTTATTAAACTCTGTTTCATAAGATGGTTTTTTCCCCAAGAGTACTTTTTAATGTAATTGTAGTAAACAAACCAGTTATTTATTTATTTTTAACTTTGCTTTTACACTAATATTGTTAAAGTGAACCTTAGCTCTTTTTTATTAGAGAAACCTGATTTAATTTAAAAATAAAAATACATAAAATATCATAAATGGAGTTTTAAATCACTAAGATTCCATTTTTGGATGTATACTTTTCTGTTAATGGCTTATGAATTAATTTTCAAGCTGGTTTAATGTTGAAGACCTTACAAAATTTACCAAAGTTATTGTCGTATACAGGATAACTAATGTCATTAAATCCTTAATGAATAGTTAAATTCTTATCTATTAATTTATATAAGGTATATTTAAACAAGCACAGAATTCTATAGAGCAGGAAGGCCTTCATGTTACTCTAGTACCAGTGCCCTTTGCTTCTGTGTTCTATTAAGTATGAAACTGAGCAATTCTTAAAATAGACTTTTTAAACGTTCATCCTTTTATTTAAAAGTTTATGTACTTTTTTGGTGGCTTATCAACATGTTCCCTGTTCAGTGTATCAAAGTTGGAAACAACAGAAAAAAAGGGAAATAAAAAAGTCTTACCCAGTCCCATATGTTTACATCCTGTCCCCAATCTTCACATTTCATGTATCTCCTTTTCAACTTTTGGCTTGTTTTTGTGATTTTTGTTTTTTCAAATAGCTCTTTACCATGATAATGAAATGTGTAAGTTTGAAATAGCTAGATTGTAATATTTGTTTACTTGAAAAATCTTAACTGGCACATTTTATATTAAAAACTAAACCACTGTGAAGTTTCAAAAGCTATCTTGGGAAGTCTTTATGAAATACTTCACTTGTTCCTGGATTGAATCATTTATCATGTAGGTAACTATAAACGTTGTTTCTGCCTGTCTGATTTTAGTTAATCACCTATGGCTCTGATAGAACGGAAGCCCTGAAGAGGATGGAGGACGCACTGGATAATTATGTTATTCGAGGTAAAAAGAATACTTTGTGGCCCTGTTACTACATATGGTGTCTAGTTCTAGCAAACAGCTTGAAGTTTTACTAATTAGCGAATTCATGAAGCAGTTGTTTACTATGTATTTAGTAGAAATCAGAAAAGCTTGAATTAATTCAACTGACATACTAGACCCGCTTCCTTTTCGTTAACAGTCCTATATGTTATACGTGCATCTTAGGTTATTTAGTAAACTTATGATTAGTAACCTTTCCTAAATAAGCATTTTCCATTTTGCAGTTACTATTGTATGTAAAACGAGAATCTATAGCATAAAGAACCATTGGCCAGTGCAGTTTGGTAACAATTTTTCTATATTATTATCTATGGAGTTTTTTTATTTGTTTTTTGAAGTAGGAAACTTGAGAATGTATGGAGATAGAAACATAGTGAGTTACCGTTGGATAGATTTGGGGGTAGGGAGAATAGCTCTTTGCTTTAGAGTACAGCCCAGGGGTCGACTGTTTTCTGGGAAGTGCAGCTTTGTTCCCCCTGTACGGAGCTGGTATCCGTAGTGCCTAACAAGATGAGATCCCGTGAGCTATCAGAGGTACAGAAATAGGAGCAGCACTTGCATTTAAATAATTAACTCTAAGTTATACTTATCCCCTTTCGGTAGAGTAGGTCATATTCTAAATTTTATTAGAAATTTTCTATTAGTAGTAAGTAAATTATTTTAGCTCAACATAAATTGTTATCAGCTGTAGAATAATGGATTTTAACACCAAATTGAAAGGGGGAGATCCAAGCTGGCTTTGAATTTTGAACAAGTAGTGAGGGGGTCTTTTTATTTAAAAGTTTATGTACTTTTTTGGTGGCTGGGGGCTTGGTGGGCCTGAGAGGCTCCTTTGGGAGTCCAGGGAAGAGAGTAGCTGTCATGTATGATGCCAGACTTCCTCAAGGCCAAGTGAAGCACTCTTGCAGATTTCATAAAATCTTCTTTCAAGTGGACACAGCTTTTGGGTCCTGAGGCTTGGCAAGTGGACTCAGGCTTTGTGCGGAATAGAAAAAATGCTCTGTTCTCAGGGTTCAACAGGAAGTCCAGCTTGGCAACAAGCACGTCGAGCCTTTGCTTTGCCCCCTTGACCGAGTTACTTTGTGCAGTGAACAGTTTGTACAACTGTCCAGTAGCAGCAATTTCATGACCCATTTTTTTCAGCAATCTACTTTCCCAGCTCATTTTTATCTGATGACAATTAACTCATGCAGTCCACACTTTCCCTCATCCTTTCTCTTCTGATTTTTCCTTTGTTAGATCAGAACAAATTCTTCTTTCTCCTCCCTGTAAGCACTGCCTTCTTCCCTTCACTCTTGTTGACGTGTAATCGTGTAATCGTGATTTTATCTCGTCTCCTGTGTTAGGGATTCATCCATGTCAAACAAGGAAAACGGGAAGCTTTCAAGTGTGAAAATTTGCAGATCTAAAATTTGATAAAATCCTCTTCATATTCTTTCTAGTTTATTTTCTACTTCCTTTTTTAGCCTTGATTTTATTTACTGATTTATAACTTTGCTGTGTTCCTCTATTTTAAGCAGCACATATTTTTTCTTTATGCATTGGTTTTATAGGCCCATGTGTCTGTATTCCTTCCGAAGTAATTTTTCCCCAAGAGGACATTAGGACACGTTCGGAACATTGTGTGTGTGAGTGTGTGTGCGTGTGTGTGTGCGCTATAACTACTGTACATACATGGTCATAAATTAGTTGTATGGGAAACTTACTCCTGGAGGACTTTTATGTCTTTGTGTCTTCTGGGAGTGGAGGGTCCCCTGACCTTGATCTTTGAATTGTTTTACTGTGGTTGTTGAATTATTAGATTTTGGTTAATTTAAGTTTTACTGCAACAAGCTCAAATGGTAAAATCTTGAGTTTGAAGTAGACAGTTTGAGTAAGAATATGTTGTTGTCACATGTCCATTCAACTGGTAGAGCACAATATGATGGTGTTTAAGTTAAGTGGCTTAAATACCAAGGTGGCTTCCCTTAGTCTCCTAACTTTACGTGGATCACATGTAGAAATGTGTTCTATTGCACATATAGATTTTTCTAAGCTTAGTCTGAAATTTTTGCCTTGAATCATCGTGATATAGAGGAGTGAACCTGGGAGACTGGGATCCACATCCTGTTGTCATGTCACAGCATGTAGTAATAGTGTGCATACTATTTTTGACTTATTGTCTCTGTGAGCCTCATTTTCCACATTTTGAAATGGAGTGACAGTCCCTGCCCCATCCTTAGTGGTGAGGTTTAGGAGAGATTAGGCATGTGAAGGGTTTGGTACTCTCCTGATTCATGTTCTCCATCAGCTTTGGTCCCATCTCTTCTCCCTCTCTCACCACAGTTACAAAACCACATTTTTACATGTCACAAATCATAGTATTATCAGTGGTGTGACATTTATCAAGCCATAGATAAATAATAAGAAAGCCCATCTGTAATCATCCCCAGTGCTGGGTGCTGGGGTCGTAACGCTCATGGCAACCTATCCCAACCCTTCTCTGAAGCATTTACTGTCAGCGTAAAGAGACTATTAGTTGTGCAATTAATGGCTCACTGTTGGATCATCCTGTAAGAACATTAGGAAAGTACAGGCTCGGTGGTGCTTACCGTGTTTAATTGTGTGTTACTGGCGCTGAGTAGTGCCTGGCACATGGTAGATGATGAATAAGTCTTTGTTGGGCGAGTGAGTGGTGCTGTCCCTGATTTCAGGGCACTTCTAACAACCCTGGTATGAAAAACACATGAACAGAGAAATATAACTGTTTGCTGTGGTCTTTTGGGAAGATAATGTGGTAAGATATTTTAAAATAAAAGTACCAACCTTTGACTCAGCCACTCAACTTTTGGGACTCTTTCCCATGGAGTTGGTGGTCCCAGCTGTAAGGTGATGTTCACAAGGACAGTGATAACAGCATTGACTGTCATGGCTAAATGGCTGCGCAACTGGGTGTGTACTAGATGCACGCTGCTTGAATGAGCACGCCCGGCTGACATAAAGCACTGTGTGCTGGTGACTTGAAGCCATGGCCATGTGTGCTGTTAAAGTGGGGGAGGAATTTGCAGATCCTTGTCTAATACGTTCTCACATTAAACTCCCTTATTAGCCTAAGATATTTTTCATTATGTTTGGATGGACACAGAGAAAGGGATGTGCATGTATCAGATGGAATTTTATGAAGCTCAAAGTTTTTGTCAAAAGGGGGTTATTCTTGCTGTGCTTTCCCTAGGAGTTTTATTTCAGGTGTTTTTCAACCTAGAGAGAAGTTGAATAAACGTGTGCCACACCACGCTCTTCCCCTGGCTCATCAGACGTTAGACTCTGACATTTGCTTTTTTCCTCTTTTCCCCCTCCTTTGCCTTCCCCTCCTTCATCCTCTCTCTTCCTCCCTCGTTTCCTCCCTCCTTTCTTTCCTGTTTTCTTTCTGTTCTGTGTGAGAGAAGGTTGTGAGCTCCATGACATGGCTCCTAAGTGCTTCACAGGGCAGCTTAAGGGTAGGAGCACGTTCCCACGAACTGCAAAGCCACTATCACTGCAGACAAGATTTACAACAACCCGACACCATCACTGCCGTCCCATGCAGATCCCAGGCTCCACACTTTTCTCCCAAATTGTGAGTTTTATTTGCTTTTTAAGCCCATTCATGGTCCAGACCTTGCACAATACCTTTAATTGTGTATTCTTATTCTCTTGCCCTCTTGTGTTTCACTAGCATTTTTGAAAGTTTTTAAATTTATTTGTTCTAATCAGTTATACATGACAGCAGAATGCTCTTTGATTCATTGTACACAAATGGAACACAATTTTTCATTTCTCTGGTTGTACAAGATGTAGCATTGCACCATTTGTACAATCATACATGTACCTAGGGTAATGATGTCCATCTCATTCTACCATCTTTCCTATTCCAATACCTGCTCCCCTTTCCTTCCTCCCTTTTGGCCAATCCAAAGTTCCTCCACTCATCCCATGCCTCTTGTCCATTATGGATTAGCTTCTATTTATCAGAGAGAACATTTGGCCTTTGGTTTTTTGGGATTGGCTTACTTCATTTAGCATGATATTCTCTATCCATTTACCTGCAAATGCCATAATTTTATTCTCTTTTACTGCTCAGTAATATTCCATTGTGTATGTGTATACACACACACACACACACACACACACACACACACACACACACACACACCCCACAGTTTCTTTTTCTTTGTCCATTCATTTATTGGAGGACATCTGGGTTGGTTCTGTAGTTTGGCTATTGTGAATTGTGCTATAAACATTGACGTGGCTGCATCGTTGTAGTATGCTCTTTTAGTCCTTTAGGTATAGACTGAGGAGTGGGATAGCTTCGTCAAATGGTGGTTTCATTCCAAGTTTTCTAAGGAATCTTCATACTGCTTTCCATATCGACTGTACCAATTTGCAGTCCCACCAGCAATGTATGAGTGTGCCTTTCTCCCTACATCCTTGCCAACACTTATTGTTGCTTGTATTCATGATCACTGCCATTCTGACTGGAGAGATGAAATCTTAGAGTAGTTTTGATTAGCATTTCTCTAATTACCAGAGATGTTGAACATTTTTTCATTTTTGAATAGTCTGGGGCAGGTGACTTGTATGTAGACTGTCCCCACTCTTGACAGGTGATATTAGCACTGGTCCAGTGGTGGCACTCAGGAGTGAGCCAACAGGATGGGGTTGTAGTTAGAACAGTGTGTTCTTTAAGTTGGTAACTTTGAATATGGTGCAGTTATTGAGGGTTTGGAAGTATCAGGGGATGACTTTGTATAGAGAGTGATGGTCAACATCTCATTGGAGGGTTCTTCTTCTTGCCGAGGGGGATGTAAGCCACCTGAGAACTTGAGAACCTGTGTGCCCATCAACTCAGTTCAGTTCAGACACTGTTGGTTAAGTACTCAGGCCCATGAGAGTACCCACTTCATGTGCCAGTTGAAAGGCCCAGGTTGCCACCGTAATTC